TATAATTATTCTTAGATATATATCATTATTATATATTATTATATATTGTTTATTCTATATTATTATATATATTATTACTATTCATTATTATTATACATTATCATATATTCCTATATGTATGATATTATATGTTATTATATATTATCATATATATGTTATAATATAATTGTATATTTTATTTTTCATATATATATATATGATTATATTTATTATTATATATATATATATCATTATCATATGTATATATATATTACTATATATAACTATTTGTAGTATTATATATATTATCATATATATTATTATATAAGTTATTACGTATATATTATATATATTATTCTGTATATTATATAAATTGTTATATATATTATTATATATATATGATTATGTATATTATTATGTATATTATTATATATGTTTTATTATATATATACATATATTATGATATATATATATTGTTTATTATTATATATATATTAATATATTATACATAATTATATATATTGTTATCATATATATATCTTATTATATACATATAGTACTATATATATTTTATATTATATAGACAATATATATATATATATATTATTTTATATTATTATATATTATTAAATATTACTATATATATATATTATCATATTTATATTATTATATATTGTTATATATATTATTATATATTGTTATATATATTATTATATATATTATTATATATAAAAATGTTATTATAATATATATATATGTGTATTATTACTATATATATTATAGTTATATAGTATTATTAGTATCATTTTTATTGTTATTATAAATAGTAACAATAATAATAATTGTTATTATAAATAGTAATAATAAATAATAGTAAATAATAATAGTAAATAGTAATAATAAATGTGATAATTCTGGCCAATTTCTGTCTCTGGCCCATCCCTTTGCCTGGCGTTGCTCAATGGCATGCTGCTGAAGCTGGCGATGGCGCTGAACCTGCGTTGCTCAATGGCCATGATTTTCGTGCCTGGCTATGCGTTAAACACAGCTACCCTTGCGCGTGTTCACCTGTTTTAAGACCCACAAATAAAGCTGAGTGATGACTATATAGTGATGGGTAGCTATTTTTCGACTATTTTTCGTGATGACTTCCCCAATGATTCCCAGCCTCCATAGCCACTCAGTCGCACTTCACTTACTTTGGGGACCGTGGATGATCATTGGTGAATCCCTGGTGAACCCTCCGATCATGGAAGAGTCGCAACGTCAGGTCGTTACCATCTTTTCTGACAAAATGGTGGTTTAATGGTGATTTAATGGTGATTTAATCCATCTAAATATCCCATGATCTTCTGATTCCAACATGTTTATGGCTTTAAGTCACTTACATCAAGTGAAATCCTCACTATGTTCTCCAAAAATGGATCTCCCCATCCTCTCCCCCTTTTTGGAGCTTCACCTCTGGTACACCCGTGCCGCCCGTGCCACGGTTCCAATGACTGTCGGTCCTGGTGGAAGTCCATCTGTCGGAAGAGCTCCTCCTGGTGTCGCATGGCCACCATCTTCTCGCCTTCCTCACCTGACGTGGCGTGGCCGAGCCACCAAGGCGCATGTCTCGGCACGACTTCGAACTCAGCTTCTGGAAAAATTGGTTTTTATCTATATATATATAAATATATATATATATATACACGTATGTATGTATGTATGTATGTATGTATGTATGTATGTATGTATGTATGTATGTATGTATGTATGTATGTATGTATGTGGATACATATATGTGTATACATATGTGTGTATACATATATGTATATACATAGAAAGACACATAGATAGATACATACATACATACATTACATTACATTACATCACATCACATCACATCACATCACATCACATCACATTACATTACATACATACATACATAGATAGATAGGTAGATAGATAGATGGATAGATTAATAGATCAATAGATAGACAAATAAATAGATGTATATATGTATATATGTATATAATATATATATATACACACACAAATACCTGCAGCGTTCGAAAATGTGGCGTTTTCTGCGAGTCATTGGCATCCCAGGTAAGGCCACGATTGCGTAGCAGTCCTGAATCAATCTGAACCATATGTAGATCTTTCTAGAGAATACCCTCTCACAGCTTTCTCCGGGTAATGGTTCAATCCTGTCAGATAGCTGATGATAGCTGGGTGTTGTCGATTGGAAATGCTTCCTGAACCCCTCATCGAAGACAAACAAATCCATAAGTTTAGCAAATCATCAAATTCAATGGGCCATGGCATTTAGTTTGCAAAGTGTTCATTTATCATCATTTACCCTCCGGTAATTTAACAGTTCACTTTTTTTAAATGGTCATAGAAATAGTGGATTTACCCACTAAAAATGGTGATTTTCAACAGCTATGTAAACGTTTACCAGAGGGTATCATCATTTATTCCCTATGTTCCGATGAGTTTCCATTGAAACCTCTGCTGTGCGGGGATCATTTCAACCGCTGTGAATCCCGACGCTGCTTTTCGATTTCCTCCAGGCGCTTCATTTCCTGCTCGATCTGTCCCCGCCTTGGTTCGCAGGAACTTCCACGCTTGCGGCTGTTGTTCCACAACATCATGAAAAATCGTGAAAGAACATGAAAGAACATAGAGTATCTCAAATGTTTGGAACAAATCCATTTCAACAATCTGAGCTCGAAAGACTTATCCAAAGGTGTTGCCTGAATTTGTGTTCCATGTTTTTTTCCACACACTGAAGGCACACTCTGCCATGTCAGAGCTGGAAGTCGCAACCACAACATGCCTTGCTAAGGGGTCTCTCCTTTCTGACAGTGGGATATATCACTTATATCACCAGCTGATTTTCACGAATCACTGAAGGTCCAAACTCCTTGGCAATGTCAGACTTCACCTGTTCCCGCAGTTGGTGCTTCAACCTGGCAGGATTCGCGGTGTGGCGAGTCCACAAAGCTTACATTTATCGAGCCACAGAACCTCGAGCTCGTCGTATCGCTGGGAGTAGTAAGTGATGTTGATTTTAACAAAAAAAAATCTTGTTGAAAAGCAATCCAACTGTATGCTGTTGTTTTTCGGACTTTTCAGGGACCTTGCAATCCGTATGCTTTGAATTACAGAGATGCCTCCTCCAGTTGTTTGGCCTTTCATTTACTTGCTGTTTATGCTGTTTATGCTGTTTATGGTGTTTATGCTGTGTGCCTTTTCTAGTAGACCATGCCATGTGTCAAAGCTGGGCAAGACAACACAAAATGGCCAGTATGAGTCCATCAACAAACAATGACAGAAGTTGTTCTCAAACAAGAAAAGTACAGTACAAGGCATTGTCTTTACGTGGATATTTTACAGGAGCAAGAGCATACGGATAAAAAATCGAAAGAAGGCCTCGATGAAGCCGGCGATGCCAGGTGTTTCAAAGCAAAAATATTTAGGCGTGAGTTTGACAGAAGATACCTCCAATATCGACGGAATTCATGCCATGATGGATTCTGCACTGCGTGTTCCACTAGTTTGAACGAATCCGTGTCTAGATATGCTGATCACTTGTGCTGAAGCAAACGAATGGTGTTTCAAAATTCAATGTGTGAAAGTTTGTGTATTCCCAAGCTGTTCAGAATCTCGCCAGGCTCTTCACATGTGGCGATCCTAGAGTGATAACACAAAACAACTCTTGCTGTCCGTGCGTGGGGATGGGTCAATACCTATTATACCATCTGGTTATGACATTGCCAGTTTGCCATGGAAAATTCCACCCATTTTATAGCTAGGTAAACCATCTATTTCTATGGGCCATCTATACCATGGTGAACTGTTGGTCATAACCAGATGGGATGAACCATCAACACTTTCTCATGTGGGATGAACATCCATCAATGATCAATGATAACCAACACTGATGATTTCGCCATGGTGATGCGAGGACGCGCCAGCAACACTTGACTTGTTCAGCACGGTCGTGATAGACCTCCTCCATGAGGGCTCTGCCTGGGTCCCAGCGAACATTTTATTTCGGGCACCAACGTGTTAACCCGACATAACCCGACTATTACCCTCTGGTAATTTAACATAGCTATTGAAAATGGCTATTTATAGTGGATTTTCCCATTAAAAAATGTGGTTTTCCATAGTTATGTTAGTTTACCAGAGGGTATCAGTCCCGAGAGATTAAGTTGGAGACGAGCAAGTTCTTCCTTCTCCCACTGCGCATAGCGCTTCTGCCACTGGCGTTCAGACCTCGGAAAGAATGATGCTCCATTGAAGTTGCCAGGATACAAATATATAAAATTGCGTTGGTTCGCACCCCAACGTCATACACTATAGATGGATAGATGAATGGATGGATAGGTGGATAGATGGATGTCTGAATATGATACTATATCATATATATATATATTACAGTACACCATATAGATAGCTATTTCCATGGCATTTCTCCATCCCCGCTCTGCAGCTCCCGGCTCTTCATCCTGAAGTCGTAGCAGCTCTTCCTCGCTCGCAGCTTTTCTGGCCATCTCCAGCTTCAAGGCTTCGGTGAACCTGGGAAAATCCATGGAAAATTCTAAGGGAAAATCCATGGAAAAATCCCTGGGAAAATCATGGATCAGAAATGATTGGAGAAACTTTTTCATGGAGAAATCCTCCAAAAAACCTGAGCGAAAATCATTGACATGCGAAGCTGGTGAAGCTGGTGATAAGCAGAGATACCGCGGACATCATGGTATCATTCACTTGAAAAACATTGAGAAACCATGTCCTTGCTGGTTAGTTGATGCCAGTTGACAGGATTGATACTGATGAACTGCCACTTCACCATTTGATGTCTTTTTGCATGTTTTCCATTTGAGCTGCATTTGAACATATCCTGATCTGCAGCTGCCCCTTTCAAGCATTTGACAATTCGCGACTTGAAGGAGCTGTTGCATTTCGCACCTTGCCTGCACCTGCCGACGAGCAGGTTATGAGCCCAACGACCTCTTGGCTCTGAGATGATGCAGAGGAGGAGGGCAACAAAAGAAGAGCTCAAACAAGGAGCTGAAGAAATTCGGCAGGCTGATGCAAGGATGAGGACAGAAGCGGCAGCGTTGGGTGAGGAGCCAGTAGAAGATGTAAAAGCAGATGAAGGGAAGTCAGAACAAGTAATGGAAAGCCTTGAAGATGGACCCCAACAAGTGGAAAGGTATGTAGAAGAGCCCCCAAAGAATAGCCCAGAAGTAGCCAATTCAGGATCAAGACCAGGTGTCCCAAGCACACCACCGCCACCACATCCTCCTGAGTTGGAGGTGAAATCTGCGGGTCTGCAAACACCAGGTCAGACCAGCACTGCCAGGAAATCTCCCGAGGTCAGGAGCTCTGTAGTTCAGCAGGATGAGAAGGCTGCTGGATCGGCTCTGTCTGATCGACTTCGAGAGGACGTTGCAACCACGCCACTGTTCACTGAGGAACAAGCCAGGACCTTGAATGAGTTGCATGATAGGGCACCATGGCTGTACCAATCAGGACGGTCGGCATTCTCTCCATATCTTCATAGGCCTGCTTTCTTAGAGCATGAAGAGGATAGGCTTAGAGAAGGGTTGTCAGAGAGGGAACGCCAGTTGCAATATATGAGAGATCGGTTGTTTCAAGAGCAGAACGAAAAAGAAGAGCTGAAAAGAGCAGTTTCGTCAGTCTTGGAGGACAATCAACGCATGAAAGTTCGACTCCAGGACTTGGAAGCAAAGGTGAGAGATCCTGAGCAGAAGTTTTCGACTCCGGAAGGGTCACAGAAGCAGGAGGCCGAGACCACCAAAGAACCCCGAGGATCAAAGGAGGCTGAGACCACCAAAGATCAAAGAACAGGACCAGAAGCCGAAGCTTCCACCTCGGCACATCATGAGCCGAGACCAGAGGGAAGCGGAAGCCTGACTGAAAAGTTCATGCTTCTCATGATGGAGTCTATGAAAGAGATGCAGAAGAAGTACCTAGAGAGCAAAGATGAGGCTGGAATGGTCAGAGGAGTAGAAGTGGTCAGAAGTGGAGCACCAGAGCTTCCACCCTTGCCGGCATGGAACCCAACGCAGGGCCCCTTGCAACTGGGAGATTGGCTTCTACTACTAGAACCTTTGGTTGCTGACATCAGCAGCAGAACAATGGTACCACAAGCATACAGCCTTGTCACCCCTGGACAGGATTCAGCACCAAGCATCTCCGCCGTCCAATGTCCAGCTTGACAAGTGGCAGCGGTTAGAGAGGAGGATGTCGGCGATGCTACTCCAATCAATCCCGGAGATGATACGGGATGAACTTGTGGCTTCACGACGTTTGAGCGTCTTTGGCATCCTGACTCATCTCTACACCGTCTACTGCCCTGGAGGTGTCTATGAGAAACAGACCCTCCTCAAAAGCTTGGAAGAACCAGCGGAAGTTACTTCGCTGACAGAAGCACCGGCGGCCATCAGGAAATGGTTGAGGTGGAGGAGAAGAACAGAGGAGATCGGGGCAGTGGCTCCGGACCCAGCCTTGTTGCTGAAGGGGCTGAATCGCTTGACGCGCAAGGTCATCGAGCCGAACAAGGAGCTGCAGTTTCGCATCTCGATGGTGCGTAACAGCCTGGGGGTAGACACAACCCCCACAGCAGTGACAGTTGGTCACTTTGCCACACACCTCCTGGCAGAGATCGAGCAAGTCGCCCTCACAGAGAAGCGATCAGCACCAGCAACGAGAACAGAAGCACCGAAGTTGAAGGCCTTTGAGGTTGACAAGGCCGACAAAGGAAGAGCAAGGACTTCAGAGAAGCAAGCAGAAGAAAGCACAGGCAAGCCAAGATGCAAGTTCTACCTCAGTGAGGCTGGATGTCGGAAAGGAAAGCAGTGCACCTACTCTCACGACGTCAAAGACGAGAAAAGACGCTGCTGGACATGTGGCGCTGTGGATCACATGGCATCGTCATGCACAAGACCCAAGTCCACCTCAGCTGAGAGCAGTCCCACAAGGCCGAAGGTCATGAAGATCGAGGGGGAGGAGAAGACACCTTCCTCAAAGGAGACAGATGCCCAGTCTTCGGCACCTTCTGAGGTGTCAATGAAGGAGCTCATGGAGGAGGCAAACAAGATGCTCAGATCGTTGTCCTCTTCTGGAGGAGCCCCATCACCACCAACAAGCCCTACTTCAAAAGAGGAGGATGCCAAGACTGAACTGATGGAGAAGCTACAGCAGCAACTCAACAGCATGAAGCTCAAGACACTGCGTTTGGGACGGATGTCAACAGAAGTGAAGCCAAGGCCTCATTGACAGCGGGGCCACCAATCCACTACGTCCCAAACGATGCGGCGAAAGGATTGAGCACTACAAGAAGCTAGAAGTGTCCCTTGCAGATGGGACCACAACCAGACTTCCAGTCTCTCCAGGAGGGGCGATGGTGAGCGCCAACGACAATACGGAGCCGATCGTTCCAATGCATCAGCTCACCGGCCTCTTGGGGTGTGAAGTAAGATGGAAAGGCCAGGAGTTGGAGGTCATTCACCCAGACCGTGGCAAGCTGCCTGTTCAGCACTCAGGAGGCTGTCCACAGGTAACAAGAGCACTTGCCATTGACCTCATCTCGGAGATTGAGGACCGAGTCCAAGGCATTGGCACTGAGAAGAGCCAGTTCACAGAAGAAGAAGGTTGGATGAGGAAGCTGGTACAAGAGCACCCAGTACTCAAAAGCCTTCCGCCTTGGATTCAAGAGAGGCTGGTGGTATCCCCAGGAGAATGGTCTGGGCTGCCGCTAAACAGAAGGATCAGGAGGAGGTTGAGACAAGAAGGTTTTGTCCTCCACCTCTATGCAGGCGAAAAAGAAGGGTTCAGCTTGCAGAGAGCCCTCAAACAGGTTGGAGGAGATGAAGCGAAGCTGCTGGAGATTGACATCAAAAGAGGTCCTGGGCACGACATGCTCAGTGACACCAAGGTGTATCCCAGTCTACTACGAGCAGCACTTGAAGGAAAGTTGAAGGCGGTCCTAGGAGGGCCCAACTGCAGAACACGAAGTGTTCTCCGACACTACCCCATAGAGGGGAATCCCCAAGCTCCGCGACCAGTCCGAGAATGGGATGGAGGAGAATTTGGGAAGAAAGACTTGAGCCCACAAGAGGAAGCTCAAGTGAGAGAAGATGACATTCTTCTCTGGAGGATGGTGTTCCTCTACATGGTGGCCAACTATGTATCCAAAGCTCGAAGCCACAGCCAGGTCCACTTTGCACTTGAGCAGCCAGCATCACCCCAGGAGTACATGCCACAAACAGTGAGCTTCTGGGACACCAAGCAGTGGAAAGAACTCAAGGCCGAGTCCAATTTCGAGGAGATCACCTTTGAACAGAAGAGGATGGGTGGTCCAGCAACCAAACCAACAACAGTAGCAGGCACACTTGAACTAGATGTAGGAGATGATCGATGGACCAAAGGCAAGAGCTGTGCCAAGATCTCCAACTCAAAAGATCTGGCGAGATGGCCACCAGGTCTGATGCACATGATGGCCACAGCCATCGTCGAACAAGTTTTGCACCAGGAAGTGCAAATCAAAGTTCTGTCATGGCAAGAACACTTAGCATACAACCACCTGCCGTACCGACGTGACTGCAGGGTGTGTCAAGAGTCCCTGCAGCAGGCAGATCTCCATCGGCGGGTTCGCAACCCGATGGGAGGTATCCTCAGCATCGATGTTGCTGGTCCAATGAAGCCAGCATATGATCAAGGAGGAGGACAAGCACGGTGGATCTTGGTGGGGGCATTGTCATGGAGAGTCCCACGGGGATCCACAAAGATGAACCAGCCAACAGAAGAAGCATTAGAAGCAGATGCTCCAGAGATCGAAGAAGGCCAGGCAGAAGAAGAAGACCAGGCAGAAGAAGATGGCCAAGAAGAAGAAAGTGAAAGGCAGCAGCAAGGGGAGGTTGGCGGAGGCGTAAGTCGGGGTGGAGGAGACCCCGGCAATCGCCCGCCCGGCGGTGACGGACGTCAGGGTGGAGGAGACCCTGGCAATCGCCCGCCCCCAGGTCGAGGAGTAAGTCGGGGTGGAGGAGACCCCGGCAATCGCCTCCCTGGTGAAGGAGCACGTGAGGGTGAAGAAGACCCGGCACAGCTCCCTCCCAACATAGAAGAAGAAACTGAGCTGCGTGTCTTTCGAATGGCCCTGCCGATGGTGACGAAGACAGCCAAAGAGGTCACCCGAACCACCATGGAATTCCTGCTTAGGCTCAGAGCAGATGGGTATCAAGTGCACAGAATCCACTGCGACAGAGGCCACGAGTTCGCAGGTGAGTTCAAAAGATGGGCCAATGCGCGGGGAATTCACATAACCCGCACACCGGGTGATGATCCGAGAGGAAACGGAAGGGCCGAGGTTGCAGTGAAGGCGATCAAAACCCAGATCAGAAGAACTTTGAGCCAGGCCTGCGAAGACTCCAAATGGTGGCCATGGGCGTGCCGCTATGTGACAGAAATCAACCGATGTGTGAGGTTGGATGAGAAGCCGGAATGGCCAAGGTTTCTGAAGGAAGTTCGAGTGAAGAAGAGAAGATGGAAGAGAGGAGACTTCGAAGTTGGAGTCGAGAAAGTTCAGTACCTATGTCCATCGACAGAGGACCATGGACATTGGGTATACAAAGAGGGCGAAGCACCAAGGGTGACAAAATGCCTGATGAGGCCAACAGAAGAACCCCTGGACGAGAGTGTCTGGGTTGCCATCGAGAAAGAGATGGTAGACGCACTGGTGCTTCGAAGAAGATTGAGGCAGAAGACATCAGTGAGGAGGTTGGATGCTTCGATGAAGGCACCCAAAGAGGAAGATGATCAAAGGAAGAAGATCCGAGATCGGATCATGAAAGTGGTAGAAGAAGAGGCTCGGCAGATCATAGAGGATGATCCTGAGCTGGCATCTGAGGAGCTCAAGATTGTGGCAAAATTGAAGAAGATGGCAGAAGGAATTGAAATGGAGGAAGAAGAAGTACTCCAAACGAAGATAGTGGGACCGAGAGAGGTCGCCGCTAAATGGAAGGATTGGCTTCCGGCCATTGAAGCAGAAGTACACTCCTTGGTGGTAGAAAAGGAGGCCTTGAAGATGCTGTCAAAGGAGGACTTCAAGGAGTTGAAAGAAGCAACAGAGAGAGCAGGCACCAAGCTGGAAACAGTTCCTTCAAAGATGGTGTTCACCGTCAAGCCTGGACCTGATGGTGGAAGACCCAAGGCAAGATGGGTCGCATGCGGGAACTATGAGTCCAAAAAGGATGATGAGAACAACTACTCAAGTGGCGCAGATGCCACAGCGTTCAGAGTCTTGGTTTGGAAGTCAGCGAAGGAGCAGTGGGTGGGTGTGGTGATTGATGTGAAGACAGCATTCCTGAATGCAGCGATGGATCAGAAAGGAGACGAAGGAATCCTTCTGATCAAACCACCAACCATCCTGGTGGAAAAGCAGTTTATGACCAAAGAGGCTCTTTTCTTGCCACTCCGTGCTGTATATGGCTTCCGAAGATCTCCAAGACTTTGGGGAGATCACAGAGATAGCGTCATGAAGACCATCAAGATCCAGTTCGTCAGCTCTGGTCAAGCCGTGGAGCTAGTCTTGGAGCCCCTGGAGTCAGAACCCAACTTGTGGAAGGTAGTCAAGGCCGAGGGGGAGAAACAACGAGAGCTGGAAGAAGAGTTTCAACTGTATGGCATGGTCATGACGTACGTGGATGACATTTTCATCTCTGGCTGTCAACCAGTTGTGGAGGCGCTCCTGAAAGAGTTTCAAAGCATCTGGGCCACTTCGAAGCCAGAGTGGGTTTCGTCATCACCGGTGCGTTTCCTGGGCATGGAAGTGACCAAGGAGGTGGACCCTGAGACACAACGAGAAGTATGGCTCATAACACAGGAGTCATACATCAAAGATCTCGTGAGCCGTCAAGAAGAAGAAGTCAAAGAGAAGAAGATTCCAATATCACGAGATCAAGCAGCCATGGAGGTTGATGAGGAGCCTCCCAGCATAGAGAGGGTCAGAAAGTGTCAGAAAGCGGTAGGAGAAGTGCTCTGGTTAGTCACTAGAACCAGACCGGACATAATGTTTTCAGTAGCCCGCATGGGTGCGAACGTCACTCGCGCCACCAGGAAAGTGATGGAAGCAGCTTCACAACTCTGGGGCTTTCTGAAAAAGACAAGTGCAGAAGGCTTGAGGTATGAGGAAGAGACAGAAGAAGAACCGGTTGTCCAGGTGTATACCGACGCGTCCTTCGCGCCGGAAGGTGAAGAGTCACACGGCTCTTACCTGGTCATGGTCAATCGATGTCCGTTGTTCTGGCGATCTGGTCGTCAGGCATCAGTGACGCTCTCAACTGGCGAGGCAGAGCTGAATGAGCTGGTGGAGGGACTCAATGCAGGAGAATCAGTAGCAGTGCTGATAGAAGAAATCCAAGCTGGTGTCAGAAAAATGGCTTGGACTGACAGCTCAACAGCAGTGAGCATCCTCACCAGTGAAGGAGGCTCTTGGAGAACGAGACATCTCCGTTTGCGCTCCTCCTACGCCAGACAGGCGATCTTGGGAGGAGAATGGGGTCTCAACCACTTGCCAGGAGAAAAGATGATCGCAGACATCGGCACCAAAGCATTGACTTCTACAAGAATTGAAACACTCAAGTCAATGATGGGCATGGGGAAGAAAAGAAAAGAGGAGGAAGTAGGAAAAGAAGCGAACCTGCCAGCAGAGAAGCAGGTTGCATCAACTGAGCAGGCCATTGCAGCTGTTCGCCTGATCACTCTGGTCGCCATGATGTCCGTGGCCAAGGGTGAAAAACAAGAGGAGGAAGATATGGAAAGTTTCAATGCGTTTCACTGGATGGTCGCGGCGTATACCGTGATGGTCATCGTCGCCACCAACACTGTTCAGGCTGTTTGGAAGGTCGCAGTAAGGATGAGACAGGGAGAGACCGAAGAGCCTCAATCCCGGAATTCCCGAAGTCGCCCCAACAGCCAAGGAAAAGATTGCGCGACGCTGCTGGACAGGGGGATCATTCCAGGTGATGCGGTTGAGGGTAGAGGAGACCCAAACCAGCTCCCTGAAGCAGGTGAGGCGGCTAAGGAGAGCCAGCCCCCTGAGGCATGTGTGGCAGTTCCGGGTGGAGGAGACCCAGGACGGGCCCGTGCCGGCCATGGTGGCCCTTCAGGTGCGGCATCATCAGGCCAAACCCTTGATTCCCTGATCCAGCAGCAGATCGCAGATGATGAACGTTGGGAAAGAGAATGGAGAGAGCTAGAAAGAGATGAAGCTATGATTCAAAGAGAGCTGAATACACCAGGGAGCGCACTGTGGACAGAAGATGATCCACCTGAACCAGCGACTGACTTTGATGTCTACTATACACAGTATGGAGCTGTGTACCATCAAGATCGAGCATGTGGCCACCTGAAAGGGCCCAAGGTTGGACAGGTGTTTGAAGGAAGATGGTGTCGAACGTGCCAAAAGAAAGCGGGTCGTCAAAACAAGGCTCCGCTACCAGGAAAAGAAATTTTGCTTGGAAAGTCAGTCAGAATTTTCCACACAGATCTCCAGTGTCCAAAAGGAAGAAAGAATGAGAGAACTCCAGTGTGTCAAAGCTGCGGAGTGAAGAACACATAGGGGTAGTTTGAGCGGCGAATGATTTCCCCCTATCGGGGTCATCAAGGGGGAGTGATGAACTGCCACTTCACCATTTGATGTCTTTTTGCATGTTTTCCATTTGAGCTGCATTTGAACATATCCTGATCTGCAGCTGCCCCTTTCAAGCATTTGACAATTCGCGACTTGAAGGAAAACACTGAGGAGCTGTTGCATTTCGCACCTTGCCTGCACCTGCCGACGAGCAGATACATTCCAAACTAGATGAGGTCCCAACTCCATGGCTTTCTTCTTGGCTTTGAGCTTTTCAGCCTGGCCAGATTGGATGTTGCAGAACCAGAAGTCATCTTCTAGGTACTCTTCAGACGACTGTGAATCGCCACAAGCAGTGTTTTACTAACATCAGCAAAAAATGTGGCTATGGATCAATACCTATTAATACCATTTTTAGTGGGATGAACATCCATAAATCCCAGCTATTTTGATGTGAACTACAGGGGTACAAGGTTTTGACACACTGCCATATAGTTAAAACATGTAAGAACATGTTTTACACCTGCATCCTTTCAAACACTTTAGAATCTCTACACTGTAACTGCGACCAAGACCCTAAGACTCTTCGCGACCCCTTGGCCTCCTCTTGCTCAGCAATGAGGCGCTCGCGCTCTAAGACTCCATTGACAAAGTTCCTACGGCTTTTTGACGCTTTGGAATCCCGGAAATGCGAAAAATCCATGGCGAAAATACGGCCAGGTCAGACCACAAAATACGGCCAGGTCGCAGGTTTTTCTATCAGTTTCAATAGTTTAAGCTGATATATAACTTATGTCTGACTCGATGTTCAAAGCTCGTCGCCCCAAGGCAGCTTTCGATTATAGTAGATGGTATATCCTCAAAGATCAAATGTGCAAACTTCTGCTTCGTGGCTGTTGGGAAGTCATTATAGTTAAATGGGATACTATATCGGGATACTATGATAGTCATTAATTGTCATTAACTATATATATATATAAGATCATTGGGTATCATTGGGATGTTCAAATTCAGATTCAATCGCTCTGAGGCAGTGTCTTGTCAAACTCTTTCTCGAAGCGCTCTTCTTCTGCTCGCTGTGCCTTCAGTGGAAGCCACCAGGTTTGTTGGTTAAATCCCATGGAAGAATCAATCACCTTAAATCATCAAGGATAATGATAGCTCATAAGTTGTAATTTACTTTATGTTCACCAGACCATTGTTTATTCAAAAAATCAACATACTTGGAAAAAAAAAACGAACAAATACAAAAAAAAATGGAAAAAACAAAAAGCAAATCAGCAAAATCCAAAAAACACAAAAGCAAAATAAAAGGGACAAAAAGAAAAAAAAAAAAGGAAAACATTGGAAAAACATTGACTTGTCCATTTGCATTTTTGTGCATTTATTTTGCTTTTTCGATTTGCCTTTTTTGTTTATATGTTGCATGTTGTTTTCCTTTTCTTGATTTTTTTTTCAAGTTTAAAAATCATTAAGCTATTGAGGAGAACATAAAATTTACCCTCTGGTAAACTAACATAGCTATGGAAAATCCCTATTTTTCATGGGTAAATCCACTATAAATGGTGATTTTCAATAGCTATGTTAAATTACCAGAGGGTACTATAATCAAAAATGCCATGATGAAAAGATCCCAGAAATAATCATAGTGACCCAATCATTGATCAAAGAGATTCAAGGCCGATTCTCGGCCTGTTGGATCGCCATGTACTCATCCGCTTTCCGGCGTTCCTGAACACGAAAAGTGTAGCACTGAAGCACTGGAGTTTTGAGGCAACATTGCAACTAAAGACCCCTTGGAAGTTTATCCATTTAGGTATGTATATATATATATACATATACATATACATATACACATACACATATACATATACATACACATACACATACACATATATTTGTATATATATATACACGCATATATACATATACACATATACATATACATATCTAGATATATAATATGTGTATATATATATATGCATGTGTATGTATATATATATGTATATATATATGTATATATATATATATGTATATATATGTATATATATATATGTATATATATATGTATATATATATATGTATATATATATATGTATGTATATATATATGTATATATATATATATGTATATATATATGTATGTATATATATATATGTATATATATATATATGTATGTACACATTTACATATACCCATTTCAGTGTATTGACCCGGGCTTTGTTCGGATAAGTGCAGCGGATGCACTGAATTTTGATGCGCACTGGAGGGTAGTTTCGTCTTTTCGAGCCGTGAGAAGTATTATATATATATATACTATAATATTGTTTACAAATATTGGATTATATTACCCTCCAGTAAATTAACATAGACCCTGCCAGATAGGGGTTCGAAGATTAGTTCCCACTAACAATTGATGATTTTCGGGGTCTATGTTCATTTACCGGTATATTATATATATATATGTATGTATACATATGTATACATATATATATATATGTAATCATATATAATCATATATAATCATGTATAATCATGTATAATCATATCAAATAAATGAAATATCCATTGATTCGGATGTTTTTCTCCACAGACGTGTTTCTCACTCGGTACCTCCTTGGCGAAGACACGAGCTTCCACTACAGCCCTCTTCTCCTGTGAGTCGCACTAAAACGGGCGACTGGCACCGGTGACCGCGCGACCGGTACCTGTTAACCGCGTTTGAAAAATCTCATTCTACTTGGAATCAATGGGATTTAATGAGATTTATAGTGATTTAATGAGATTTTATAGTGATTCAATGGGATATTAATGGAATCTACCCTCTGGTGAACTAACATAGCTATTGAAAATTGCCATGTCTGGTTGAATTACCCATAAAAAATGGTGATTTTCCATAGCTATGTTAGTTTACCAGAGGGTAGTCACCTAGTCAATAAAAGTACAAGCCAACGAACTTCAGAGATCATCTTCATCACCTTTTTGGGTCGATCTATAATTTCAAACTTGTTTTACTAGTGGTTGTTTTGCTTCGGGTTCCTAGTCAAGACTTTGAGCCTTGAGCAATCAAAAAGGTTTGGAGACTGTCCAAAACATGGATCCAACATGGGACTGCAATCAAAGGCCAAACGATTTTCAGAGAATGCAAAACATGTATATAACGGTAAATGGTCGCTCCTAAAGCAGTCAAGACCGGTGAGCCTCTTCTTCTTGCTCGGCCCAAATCTTCTTCAAGCGGTCAGCCTGATGTGCGTTAGCTGCATTTAGGATCAAATACAAAGGACTGTGTCTACTCGGTCTTGACTCTGTGCTTGTGGGCAGTTTGTTACACCATGTTGCAGCTGTGATCACGTGCAATGCCGATTGCACATCCCATAACATCCTCGAACATCCTATAACATCCTACAACATCCTTTAGCCATTGCAGGAATGAAGATCACCAAATTTGGGTGGTCCTTCCTCAAAATGCAGCTGCCTCCACAGCCTCTTCTTCTTTGTCAGCATCCAACTGAGCGGGTCGAAGATGAGAGATGAATGTGTATATTATATATAATTAACAGTTAACATTATATATAATATATGTATATATATAAGTTATAATCCCATCCCCTTAATACATCCTACTAAACACCCTCCCAGAAACCATGGTTTCATAGGAGATTTCCACATGTTTGGGACCAAAAAAAAGGAGGTGCTTAATTATTATCATGAATGAAAGGGATGGGATGATGTTTTTTTACCTCAATGGTGATTCAACTCCAGCTGCCACATGTTCCGTGACCCTCCAGGGCAACGACCCGCTCTTTTTTCCAGTCGAGCTGAATGCCCAGAGTCTTCTTCTGCCTTCGCTGTCGACCGCGAAGCCGTGAGGCAGGTTGGAAGATGTGGACCATGGTGGCTGTTCTAAGACCATCAAATACCATGCACTCATTCTTGGGGGGTGCGCCCAAGATTCTCGCACCAAATGCAAAATCAGGTGGAGGAGAAACTATTGGCTGCAAGATCCCATTTTCAGACCTAAAAACATGAACTTTTAACCCATGAACTCCCCTCAGGCTGCGGCTGATCGTTGCGCTCACCCTTGAGAGCCTTTTCCCGCTCTTCTCGCTCAATTTTCGCCAGGTAGCCCTCATGCCTTGGAATCCAACGGCCGCACATGGCGTTCGGACAAAAAAAGCCGAAGCGATCCATCTTCCGAGTTTCAAGGTACTAAAAAAATATCGAAGCTACAGTATATAATGGCTATATAATGGCTATATAATATATATATATATAGATATTTATATATAGATATATATATATATGATATAGATATATGTCCAAAAAGAAGTGTTGCGTGATATCCTTGCAGCTTCGCCGCCAAAGCTTGGCATAGAAGTCGTCGATTCCCTTCTCCTTGATCATCAAATATGATCAAAAGATGAACGCAGTAACTTGCTTCAAGTTGAATTACTGCTTTCCTCAGGCATTCCTTCGACACGCCATTTCCAAGACGGAAACATGTCACAAAAACATGACAAATCCATAGTACTAGTACTCCTGATGTCACCATGACTCTTGCCCCTGCCTCTGCTTTGCGGAGGGCTTTGTCATCCAGCTGGAAGTCCCTGTCTGCAATGGTCTGCAACTCCACGATTTTGGAGTCCATCGTACGCAGGTCATCAATGCCTGACGTCGTTTTTTTTCGATGCCGACGTCTGGCGGTGGTCTCTGCTGATTCTGGGTTTTTGGCACAACGAATTGGTGTTCCACCGTGTTCCACCTGTCATCTCTGCCATCCCATCCCCACCTGCTCGCCACTGCTGATAGAGTTTTTCCTGGACTACGGCTTTTCGTTCGTCCTGTCGAAGAACAGCCATGTCGCGAAGCCGCGACCGATCAAGAACCCCTTTTTGGCACTAACACTGAATGTCAAATGGGGGTACCCCCATTTATAGAAACCCCCATATCATGGACAGCTAGTTCTCGCATCATGGCCCGAACCTCGCGGCGCTTCTTGAGCTCATAGGCTCGAGCCTCAGAGACAGCGTCAGTGTCCCGGTCATCAAAAAGCTTGGCACAAGGCTCGAATTCAACCTGAAATGGTGGGGGTTGCGTAGTAGGTCTTCAGTTTTGAAGCTTCGAAAAAATGAAGACGTCTCGATCTCGGATTGCTCAACGTGATTATCTCAAGATCGGATCAACTACCGCTGTGATGTTTTGCGCCAACACGACACCGGAGGCATCGCCTATGTCCATGGAAACTTCGTTGCGTCCAGACCCAAACTGATCCAGTGGTCTCCAATATGAAAATGGGATGAAGTGTTGGACCACTCCTGAGTCCCTAGAACTGGTTGCACTCGACAGCATGCTGCATGCCCAGTGGAACCAGTGGAACCAGTGGAACCAGTGGACTGAGACCATGGCAGACATTCGTTCCATTCTCTGCGCGGGTGTTTCCTCGCGCTCCACCATCTCCTTCTGCCAAGCCTCAAAACGTGTAGCGCGACCGGATTTTTTTTGTGAGATGTGGATCCTTGGTGATCCACAGCGCATGAAACTAGTTGTGCCATCATTCAGAAACTGCCAGAAATTGGTGCTTCCCCTTTGTTGAGCCCAGACCCATCCCCAATATTCTTGATAGTTTTCCATTCTTCCTCATCTACTCATGATAATCCCATAAAATTTCCCATAAAACGCTTGGTCGATGTTGGATGATTTTAGAATTCCCACTTGAACATGTATCAAAATAGCCATAGCCATACCGATCCATGTGGCCTTCATCTCATCCGACAACTTCTTGGCCAAGCGGTAGCGACGATCCTGGTTGAACCAAGGTGGACAACAAGGTTTGCAGCTTTTATGATGGATCCGTTTCATGGATTTTTTTACTGGCTCATCTAGAAAAATGGAAAACATAGACCCTGACAAGAGCGATGAAAGCTTGCGCTAGGTCTGAGAGTTAGAATCGGATTTCCAGAATTGCAATTTGGAGGTTTCCATTAATGGGGATCCCAAAATGGATGGTTTGTAATGGAAAATCTTATTAAACTGGATGATATAAGAGTACCCCCATTTTGGGAAACCTCCATTTGAGTCCAGCCTGCAATTGTGCTTGCTGCTGAGCTTGGAGTGCCGCAACCTGCCGGTGACCCGGGGCCACGGCCAACAGTTAGCCAAGCCTCCACGCCACGGTACAAATATTTTATCCCAAAAAGTTCTTGTTGGTTTGTCCACTTAGTTTAGAAACCTCAGCCAAGAAGGCCTCCTTTTTGGTACCCTTTTTGGTACCCTTTTTGGTACACGGTCGACCGTTCGGCGCCTTGCTCTTCACTCGATTGTTGCGAATGACGTTCATCATTCGGTTTTCCCAGTGGCCCTTTTGCTCCACCTAGCGGACATTTTTCCGGAAAATGAAGCTGGATCCATCCATCCATGCTTCTGACCTTATGAATGTAACATTAATACACACATATATATATATATTTATTTATTATGTTAATTATATATATATTATTATTTATATAATTATATATATAATATATAATATAATATAATATAATATAATATATTATAATATAATAGAATATAATATAATATAATATATTATAATATAATATAATATAATATATTATATTATATTATATATATACATACATGAATGTCTTCAAACATATTCCCCCCCATTTGGTCCCTTCGTGTCGAAGACGTCTTTTCGCCGCGGCTGGGGGAACGCTAAGATCCGAGCACCGATCCGGTACAACGGCTCTTGTTCTGCCCTTGTGGCAGCCGTGCAACGAAATTCACTGGGCGCAGTTTGGCACCTGGCCACCGTGATTTCGAGTAATTACTGCTGGTTTTTCAACCTTACCTAAGGGGCCTAACGGAAATCCACATGTTCATGCAATCACTTGTTTAAATATGTTTTTCCATGATATCTCAAAGGGGAATTTTCCGTTACCAGCTAGAAACTCTACCACATTTTTCAGATCCGAATTACCATGGCTTCACGTACACCAAGAACTGCTCTTTGCCGTTGCTCTTGATGTCCATGGTGATCTTGTCGCCGTAGGTGATCTCCTGTCCGGGCACCATTTCGAAGCGGCAATGGCGTAACAACTCCACTGTGGCGGTCTTGGCCTCAAAAATGGCCTTGGACAAAGAAGTGGCTGGTGATGTTTTTTTGAAAAGCAAAGCCTTTTTCATGCGACTGGAGATTCGGATGTGTGATTTTCAATGGAAATCTATGGTTTTGAATGAAATTTCAGGGAGCGCAGCATACAGCCAAGATCAGCCAAGTATCCATGTCCATTCCCAAGCAAATTCTGGGCCCCGCTTGGAAGACTGGAAACTCATGTTGCGGTGGAGCGTTGAATGGAATCCACCTCTCAGGACGGAAGTGAAGAGGTTCCGGATATCTCTCAGGATCCCGACCCATGTTGTATGGGATGAAGGCAACGCTGGCGAACTTGGGCACCTTCCAACCACCTGGAAGCACATCATCTTCGAAGGCCATCTTCAGGTCAAAGGGCACCGGGGGCCATATGCGCAAGGCTTCGTAGATCACCCCGTTCAAATAGGGCATCTCATTTGGGGACAGACTCTTCCAGTCCATGGCTTTCCCAGGAGGCAATTTCTGCATGATCTCATCATGAAGTCGCTGTTGGACATCCTGGTTCTTGGTGAGTTCATAGACCATCCAAGACAACAAGCAAGCAGTGGTGTCCCTTCCTGCAATGATCAAGTGAAGCACCATCTGCTTCACAAAGTCACTGCTGAACTTTGCCTGCAGAAACAGAGCCTGCCAGCGATCAAACAGGAACGGATGGAACAGGAAAATCCATGGAAAAAACACAAAATTCACCGGAAAACTTCCAGGTATCGGTGGCACAAGTCAAAATACATGGTCAGACTTTTAACTTCAAACTTGATAATCTTGAAAAACTGCCGAGGGACCAACAGATCTTTTCTTTCCAAGAACTTTGGATCCTCAAGGCAGTTCTTCACTAAGCGATTGGCTTCTCGATCCAGGATCTTGGTACATCTCCTGAGCTGTCGGTGTTGGGGAGATAGGAAGTCATAGATGGCGCGGGCAAAGCCACCATTTTTTCCACCAAAGGGCCACGGCAAGAAGGTTGTAAAGATCATGAAAGGAGCGATGGAGTCCACTCCGTGCGTTCGAGATGCGGCATTTGCATCATCAAAAGCCTGGCCATAGGTATTCTTTTGGCCCTCTGCGGTGTTGGTGTCTTCTCCAAAGAAAATGCGCATGATGCTGTCAAAGGTGAAATTGAAGAAGCATGCTTGGATATCCACAGCGTCAGCATCGCTCGCCGGCTCGGACACAAATTTCCTCTCCAGGAAACGGCGGAGCACTTCTGCTTTTTCGATGAAGACATCCTGCATCATGCTGTTGAAGTTCTTTCCTGGTTGCTACATGTTGGTCCTTTCACTCTCTTAACATCACTACTCTTATATGTATATATATATATACATATGTATATATATATATACATATGTATATATATATATGATATATGTATATACCATTGTATATAATATATATATATATATATTAATTTCACTCGGGTTCTTCATCCCACCAGACAACCTTCGCAAAAACACATCTTCCCAGTGTCGGTTGAAGATCTGCGCTGAGACTTTCCGCATCTTCGTCCACTCCTGGCCGTCATCCTCGGAACCGACACCATGCTTTTGCACAAAGATGCCGCTGCCCAAGAAGTCTTCAAAGTAGTAGAAGAAGGGATCAATGCTGCTATCCGGCTTGGTATACTTTGAGAACTCATCTTTCAAGATGTGGCGCACAATGGCTGGATCATTGGCCAGCAGGGTATATGGCGCCGGGCTCCAAGAGAAGCCCAGGTTTTTGGAAATGGGCCGACCCTCACAGATCTCCAGGCGCCAGTCATGCAAGCGGTACAAATTCCGTTGTAAGTCTCGGATCCAACCCGCTGGGGCGTCGTGACCTGCACCCTTGGTGCCGGGCATATCCTTCAGCACTTCTCTCATGCGCGAGGAGACCGTGAAGCCTTTCCACAAACGATAAAAGACTTGAACTGCACCAAAGACTCCATAAGCAATGACCTGGGCTGAAAATGTATGGAGCCACGGAGCCACGATCAATGGTAATCCCACAAAATCTGCAAGAAAATACCAGGAAAAGGCGAAAATCGTCTAAAAATGTCTAAAATATAGACTAAAATGGCAAGCAGTGACGCTATTGATCACAATCTTCTTTGCCAAAGTCCCTTTTGACTCCTCCATGTCTCGTCTCTGTCACGACCAGTGGTACGAACTTTAGAAAGGGGCGCCACAAGGTCTCAGAGCCGAAAGCCTCTAGCAGATCCTCTGGGATTTCAATGGACAGGCTCATCAACTTCTGATTGTTAATCAATGTTGATCATCCATTTTCCATATAAATGTCCATGTCAAAAATATCAGTTCCATACTAAACTGGCCATTTGGGGTGAAATCCTGCTGAGCTCAGAAAAAGCGTGTGATTTTCCTGCGTTTCAAAGATCGTTTTGAAGTCCGAAAAATCCTTCACGGATTTCAGCCCAGTTTGATGTCCGACCCATCAGCCCATAGCGCCTTGAATCGCTCCAACTGGCTTGCAACTCGTGTTTCATATTGAAACTCCTGAAGCAGGACATGTTCCGCACGTTTTGATCACAGAAATCTCAAGTTGATCAGATTCCAGGGCAGCCGGAAAAACATCATCTGCACCCGGTTTTTTGATTTCGGTAAACCCACCAATACTAAACCTCCAAATCCGGAATGGATGTTTTGATGAAGTTTTCATCCATGTTTTCATCATCCATAAACCTGGTATGTGTCCATTCCCGGTTTCCATTCCTCCTCCTGACGTTTCAGGATTGCACGATCTGGTCGAATCATTGAAGCCATCGCTTCGCGAGGCGCTGGAATATCGAGGCCCGAGGCCTGGCGAACGAATCCGGCGAGCACCAGCGCTCGTCAGGTCCGAGATTCCGCCAGGGGCCAAAATCGCTCAAAAAATCGCTGGAATCGATAGAGATATGAGATCTATCTATGAGATCTAATCGAATCTAATCTAATCTAACCTAACCTAATCTAATCTAATCTAATCTATCTATCTATGTATGTATGTATATATATATATACATATATATATATATATTATCAAGATCTATTATACATCTATAATATCTATATAGATCTAGATCGATAGGGCCCCATAGGAATCATCCCACGTCATTCCCAAATCTCAGGGATGCCTGGCCTTCGCCCCGGCAAACACCTATGACTGCTATGACCCTCCGGCCGGGAAGGGCAGTCTCGAGCCGCGGAAGGGCCGGAAGGGCAAGACTCACGGCCTGAACAAAATGGTCAGAAATCATGCTGTTTCCAGTGAGGATATTGATCTTCAACGCTGAACCAACATGAATTAACAGTGTTTAACATGATCAAAGAATATCAAAGACATGCGGCTTTGTGCTTTGAAGCAAGAATTTGGATTGAGGTCCAACAATATCCAACAATAAGCAATTCTTCGGAAAAGGCACTTTAGCTCTGAGCAACTAGCAGGAAAGGCGCTCACCCATTTTTTTCAAGCGTTCTTTTGCCCATCTCGGAACCTACTAGCAAGAGCGCAGCGGTTGATGGAAACAGTGGGTGACTGTGCAAGATCAGAAGATCGGCGGAGATTTACTGTAGCAAGCACGTGCCGAGCAGCACTACCTCGCTAACTATACCCTCAAGAGAACAGGGAACGGTCTCCCTGGCGGCCCCGATATGAGGTGGCCTTAAATTCAAACCATGTCACACAAAGCGTGTGGACTGCGGCATCAAATGAGCTGACGGAACTGGCACAACATGGCACACAAAGCCACAGTTCTTGAGTCTTGAGGCGCGTTCTTGACTGCTGATGGACCTTTGGTATTGGTCAACACCGAGTCAACACCCGTTTAATCTATGTCAAATTATGTCAATGCCCCAAGCCCCCAAGAGTGAATAGACTAGTACATCATAGACTACACTGAATTTCAGCCCATGTTTGGCGGCGCTGGATGCTGGATGTTGACCCGCTGTCTCTACGAATCACCATCAATCCTTGCCGGGTGCAGCTCATTCGAAACTAAATTTGGGGTACTTCTCCTTGAGTCCTGGAAGGCTTTCACGTAAGACCTGCATATCCTTCAGCAATGCAGGCGGAACCATGACACCACCTGCGAAGTCAACAAGCTCTGCAGATTCTGAATAAGAAAAGCTTTGATGAATTGTAATATATAGAATATACCGTTAAAAACAAAGTTAGAATGCGGTTTTGGCTTCGCGTGATGGTGGCCCGTTTGGCCCCCCCCCACGGCAGTCGCATTAAAACTGAGGAAACGCCTGTAAATATGCAGAAACACAGTTAGAATGCGGCGCCAAAATTGGTAAGAACATGTAAGTTTTGACTGGTAAATTACAGGCGAAATACAGTTAGAATGCCTCCTCCTTTTCTTCTATATTGTTCCTTGCCCTTCCTTTTCTTCTATATTGTTCCTTGCCCTTCCTTTTCTTCTATGTCCTTTTCATTGATCTATATCTGCTGTAGTTTCCGGGGGGCATTCTATCTGTTGTTTTTGCACTGTAGCCACATTTCTGACCTGCAGGGAACCTGGAGTGCCCTTGTCTCTTTTCCGACCTTATCCGCTTCCCTTTCCTTGTCCTTTTGTTTCTATAATGTTCCTTTCCCTTCCTTTTCTTCTATGTCTGTATTCATTGATCTATACGTGCTGTAGTTTCGGTAGGCATTCTATCTGTTGTTTTTCCCACTGTAGCCATATGTTTCTGACCCGCAGAACCTGGAGTGCCCTTGTCTCTTTTCCGATCTTATCCTCTTCCCTTTTCTCCTCCTTTTCTTCTAAATTGTTCCTTACCCTTCCCTTTCTTCTATGTCTTTTTCATTGACCCATATCTGCTGTAGTTTCCGGGGAGGCATTCTATCTGTTGTTTTCCCCACTGTAGCCATATGTTTCTGAACCGCAGGGAACCTGGAGTGCCCGTGTCTCTTTTCCAACCTTATCCTCTTCCCTTTTCTCCTCCTTTTCTTCTATATTGTTCCTTACCCTTCCTTTTCTTCTATGTCTTTTTCATTGATCTATATCTGCTGTAGTTTCCGGGGGGGGAATTCTATCCGTTGTTTTCCGCACTGTAGCCATATGTTTCTGACCCGCAGGGAACCTGGAGTGCCCTTGTCTCTTTTCCGATCTTATCCTCTTCCCTTTTCTCCTCCTTTTCTTCTATATTGTTCCTTACCCTTTCTTTTCTTCTATGTCTTTTTCATTGATCTATACCTGCTGTAGTTTCCGGGGAGGCATTCTATCTGTTGTTTTCCCCACTGTAGCCATATGTTTCTGACCCGCATGGAACCTGCAGTGCCCTTGTCTCTTTTCCGACCTTATCCTCTTCCCTTTTCTCCTCCTTTTCTTGTATATTGTTACTTACCCTTCCTTTTCTTCTATGTCTTTTTCATTGATCTATATCTGCTGTAGTTTCCGGGGAGGCATTCTATCTGTTGTTTTCGCCACTGTAGCCATATGTTTCCGACCCGCAGGGAACCTGGAGTGCCCTTGTCTCTTTTCCGATCTTATCCTCTTCCCTTTTCTCCTCCTTTTCTTCTATATTGTTCCTTACCCTTCCTTTTCTTCTATGTCTTTTTCATTGATCTATACCTGCTGTAGTTTCCGGGGAGGCATTCTATCTGTTGTTTTCCCCACTGTAGCCATATGTTTCTGACCCGCAGGGAACCTGGAATGCCCTTGTCTCTTTTCCGACCTTATCCTCTTCCCGTTTCTCCTCCTTTTCTTCTATATTGTTCCTTACCCTTCCTTTTCTTCTATGTCTTTTTCATTGATCTATATCTGCAGTAGTTTCCGGGGAGGCATTCTATCTGTTGTTTTCCCTGCTGTAGCCATATGTTTCTGACCCGCAGGACACCTGGAGTGCCCGTGTGTCTTTTCCGACCTTATCCTCTTCCCTTTTCCCCTCCTTTTCTTCTATATTGTTCCTTACCCTTCCTTTTCTTCTATGTCTTTTTCATTGATCTATATCTTCTGTAGTTTCCGGGGAGGCATTCTATCTGCTGATTATCTGCTGTTTTCCCCACTGTAGCCAGATGTTTCTGACCCGCAGGGAACCTGGAGTGCCCTTGTCTCTTTTCCGATCTTATCCTCTTCCCTTTTCTCCTCCTTTTCTCCTATTTGTTCCTTACGCTTCCTTTTCTTCTATGTCTTTTTCATTGATCTATATCTGCTGTAGCCTTATCCTCTTCCCTTCTCCTCCTTTTCTTCTATATTGTTCCGTACCCTTCCTGTTCTTCTATGTCTTTTTCATTGATCTATATCTGCTGTAGTTTCCGGGGAGGCATTCTATCTGCTGATTATCTGCTGTTTTCCCCACTGTAGCCAGATGTTTCTGACCCGCAGGGAACCTGGAGTGCCCTTGTCTCTTTTCCGACCTTATCCTCTTCCCTTTTCTCCTCCTTTTCTTCTATATTGTTCCTTACCCTTCCTTTTCTTCTATGTTTTTTTCATTGATCTATATCTGCTGTAGTTTCCGGGGGGGTGCATTCTATCTGTTGTTTTCCCCACTGTAGCCATATGTTTCCAACCCACAGGGAACCTGGAGTGCCCTTGTCTCTTTTCCGATCTTATCCTCTTCCCTTTTCTCCTCCTTTTCTTCTATATTGTTCCTTACCCTTCCTTTTCTTCTATGTCTTTTTCATGGATCTATATCTGCTGTAGTTTCCCGGGAGGCATTCTATCTGTTGTTTTCCCCGCTGTAGCCATATGTTTCTGACCCGCAGGGAACCTGGAGTGCCCCTGTCTCTTTTCCGATCTTATCCTCTTCCCTTTTCTCCTCCTTTTCTTCTAAATTGTTCCTTACCCTTCCTTCCCTTCCTTTTCTTCTATGTCTTTTTCATTGATCTATATCTGCTGTAGTTTCCGGGGGGGCATTCTATCTGTTGTTTTCCGCACTGTAGCCATATGTTTCTGACCCGCAGGGAACCTGGAGTGCCCTTGTCTCTTTTCCGACCTTATCCTCTTCCCTTTTCTCCTCCTTTTCTTCTATATTGTTCCTTACCCTTCCTCTTTTTCTATGTCTTTTTCGTTGATCTATATCTGCTGTAGTTTCCGGGGAGGCATTCTATCTGTTGTTTTCCCCGCTGTAGCCAGATGTTTCTGACCCGCAGGGAACCTGGAGTGCCCTTGTCTCTTTTCCGACCTTATCCTCTTCCCTTTTCTCATCTTTTTCTTCTATTGTTCCTTACCCTTCCTTTTCTTCTATGTCTTTTTCATTGATCTA